CCCCGCAGTCCGCCCTCCGCTCGCGGCGGGCGCCCCGCCGCCGCGGTGACGCGCTACGGCAGCCGCATGCCCCCTGCCGCTTTCGTCTCGGGTCGAATCGGGCCTCCGCAGTCAAACCTCGGAAACATCAATCATTGAAGAACACATGGAGTTTGAAAACAAGGCCGGCCAAGTCCCGGCCCCCACCTCTTTCATCACATAATAGACCTTGGACTTGTCCCACGGCACCGGGCTGCTGCTCCACGCAGCCAGTACCCGCAGCACGTTGTTCAGCGCGAACCTCACGAGGAAGATCGCAACCGAGATCACCACCAGCTGGCGGAAGGCGATGGAGCGCAGCACGCGGCGCGTGATGCGGCCGAGGGCCTCGAAAAAGCCGACGTCCGCGGTCAGCTGCAGGGACATGCTGGCAAACAGGAGGCCCCCTAGGAAGAGGATGGAGAAGACGAATACGTAGACGGGCCGCAGGAACGCGCCCGCGGACGCCTCGGGGGCGCGCGCCGCCGCCGCCGCGGCGCCGTGGGGGCCCGGGGACGACGGCGGCGGCGGGGGCGCCGCAGGCTGCTGCTGCTGCTGAGGTGCCGGGCCGGAGGGGGCGCCGGCGGCGCCGCCAGTCGCGTTTGCGCTGGCGGCGGTGCTGCTGCTGGCGGCGTTGCTGCTGGTGGGGGCGGCCATGGCGCCAGAGACTGCAGACGGCCGCAGTCGGTGGCTGCGACCGCCCGCGTCCGCATGCAGTGGCTTGCACAGCAGCGAAGCAGTGCCAGGTCGTGCTGCACACTGCTGGCCATGCCGCCGCTGGACCACCTGCGGCCACGAGCCACTTAGTCGCGGGATCAGCATATCACACGCGCATTGGTGATGTGTGAAAGAGCCCTGCTAGGGCCAGGTGATGCGGGTCAGGATCGATATTTTTCAACCCGAGACCCTGTAAGAAGATTCAGCTCGATGCGCGTACATTATACGGGTGCATGTATGCCGGTCAGCAAGTGCGCAGCCTAGGAACCACTGTACTTGTCACTTGCACACCCCGGAGGGTCAATGCACTCACGTACACTCACCGCACAGCTGCCATACTCTTCAAAAGAGAATGATTATCGAACAACACCTCTGTAACAACAGCCATTTACCGAGTGATCACCATTACCCTTGACCTGGCAGCTAGAGGCCCCCATTTGTGCTCAGGCCGATGATGCAGCAGCAGATCGTGAGCTTGAAGCCTCTATGTGGCGCCCACCCCGCGAGAGCATCGGCCGCGCGCTCCGCGAGGCAGCAGCGCCCCAAGGCAGTGGCGCACCTGCGATGCCTCCCCACCGCCGCCGCATCGGCACAGCAGCAGGAGCTGGAGCAGCAGCAGCAGCAACTAGCAGCAGGGGAGGCGCCAGACCTTGTACAAAAGATCATGGCCTATGAGTACGTGGTGACACTGCCAGATGGAGCCAAGCTCGTCGTTTCGGCGCTGCGGCCGCAGTGGCTGGTGAGGACGCCTCCCGCATGCTCCCTCTTGACACGAGAGCAGCCGTCCACGCCCTGCTGCGTGCTGGTGTGCCCGCCCTGCAGAGCCGACAGCGTGCTGTTTCAAGGCAAAGGCCAGCCGCGCAGGACACTCAGGTGCGGATGCAGCACACCCGCCGCCAGTCACACTAACGTCGTGCAGCAAACACAATCCCTGCACACCCTTAGCCGTCACCAGCTCATCCCATTGTGCCAAAACCCCGCTCCCTACTCCAGGGTCCATGTGCGGACCTGCTGACGAGCAGCTTCATAGCAGCTGCCAACATAGGCCCGTACGGCCGCTTCGTGCGCCGGAGGATCGCGGCGTATCTAGAGGAGCACGTGCAGCTGCCGCCAAAGGCGGTGGTAATAACAGCCGTCCTCCAACCGCAGCCTGAAGGTACCAACCACCAGGGCACGCCTGCCGGTAGCGGCAGCAGCAGCAGCAGCAGCAGCAGCAGCAGCAGCAGCAGCAGCAGCAGCAGCAGCAGCAGCAGCAGCAGCAGCGCCCCGGCTGGCGGCGGGGCGGGGGCGGGGGCAGGCGCAGCAGCGGGCGGCGGCGGCGGCGCGACGGGGCGGGCGGCGCGCGCGGTGCTCATCGGCACTGCCGAGGTGTCCTTCGACCCGTCCACGCGATCGTCTTATTTGACCCTCAACCCGCCCGTCAAATGCGGCTACATCTGCAACACAGCGGTGGTGCCCGAGTGGCGGCGGCGCGGCGTGGCGACGCACCTGATGCGGGCGCTGGAGGACATTGCTGAGCTCGCAGGTGAGCAAGCGCAGCCGCCAGCCTTGCAATAGCCCCATTGATTTCATCGCCGGCAACACCTTTTGAGCTTGCGTCTCCCCCTCAAACTGCAGTGAGGGGCGCAAGCGCCTGCTGAGCGGCAGTCAGGGGGTCAGGGCGGCATGCTGCGCTTGAGCAGCAAGCGTTGTTCAGCTTGCGTTTGCATAGGAAGTCTGTAGACCTTCATGAGATTTTTTGCAGACGCCAGCGAGCCGAGCTGCTGCGTCAAACCCAGATTTTTGATTGTCAAGGCAGCCTTGAGTGGACCCCTTGATACGTGGTCCCTGCTCAGTGCAAGCCGTCCAATCATCAACAAGGGATGAGTCGTGGGTGTCACCGACCAACTGACCAGGGACCCCCTCCCCCGCACCCCCACCCCCACCACGACCCCAGGGGAGCAGTACACGTACCTCCACC